TTTTTAGTAGAGATGGGGGTCTCTATTTTTGCTCAGGCTGCTCTTGAATTTGTGAGCTCAAGCAATCCAACCGCCTTGACCTCCCAGATTGCTAGGATTAAAGGCATGAGCCACGGGCCTGGCCAAGCCCTGCTAATTTTTATCTTTTTTTTAGAGACTGGATCTTGTATGTTGCCCTGGCTAGTCTCAAACTCCTGGCCTCAAGTGATCCTTCCACTTCAGTCTCCCAGAGTGCTGGAATTACAGGCATGGGCCACTGCATCCAGCCTAAATAATGTATATCTTAAATAAATAATCCATAATGAAAAGGCCAAAAAATTGTAACCAGAGACTATTACCCCCAAGCTCTTAATTTTAAAAGAAATTGACCCTAACTTTCCCTCCAGCTACATCTTCCAGACCTCTGCGTTCCTTGATTATCAAAATTCTTCAAAAAAACTTGTCTATTTCCAATATCCCCCACTCCCCTCCTTCTTTTTTTCTGGTTCTGGCTTTTGACTCCCACAGCACTCAAAGTGCCAAATCCAATAGTCAGGTCTTGGTATGGCCAGCTTATTCATCCATATGCAATGTCATCTACATTTTAATTTTAACCTCTTGACTATCAAACACCAGATGCAACTTACCCAAAATAACTCCTCATCCCCACCCCAATCCTGCTCCTCCCCTAGGCTTCCCATCTCTGGTGAAGTTATCTTTCTGGTTGCTTTGGGTCAACAGCTTAGAGGTTTGAGACTGCTCTTTCTCTGTCACACAGATCTCACACCCTAGCCCTGCCTTTAAAACCTAGCTAGAAATCTTGCTAGCACTTTGGGAGGCCAAGGTTCGGGATGATCACTTGAAGCCAGTTGGAGACCAGCCTGGGCAACAGGCAACATAGCAAAACACCATCTGTACAATTTTTTTGTAATTTAAGAATTATCCAGGTATGGTGGCACATTTTTATTATGGAGAGGCTGATGTGGGAGGATTGCATGAGCCCTGGACTTTAAGGTTGCAGTGAGCTGACTGTGCTACTGCACTCCAACCCAGGCAACAGACCAAGACCCTTGCTGTTAAAAAAACCAAAAAAACAAAAGAAAGAAACAGGGAAGGTGGTATATGGGTAGCTGTTGTGTCTGAGAATTAGTTTTTTATGGGGTGGTCAGGGAAGACCTCACTGAGGTGGTGACATTTGACACCTGAAGGTGAGGGATGAAGCCATGTTGCTATCTAGGGGAAGAGCAGTCCAGGCAGAGGGCACAGCCAGTGCAAAAGTACTATAGCAGGATTGTGCCTAGCACCTAGCACGTGGGAGGAACCAAAGTAAGGGATCCCAAAATGCCTCCCAAAATTAGAGGGCAGGAACCATCATACCCAGCCAAATTTTTTTTTTTTTTTTTGGAGACAAGAGTGTTACTCTGTGCCTTGGGTAGAGTACCATGGTGTCATAGCTCACAGCAACCTCAAACTCTTGGGCTCAAGTGATCCTCTTGTCTCAGCCTCCCAAGTAGCTAGTACTACAGGCACCTGCCACAATACCTGGCTAGATTTTCTATTTTTAGTAGAGATAGGGGTCTTATTCCTTAGGCTAAATTTTTGGTTTTTTAAACTGTCTTAACCTCACAAGAATGGAGGCTCTTTGAGAACAATTTTTTGTGTTTTCTTCACAGTATGCTGCAGCCTTCAGAACAGTGCCTTGAGTATAGAACATACTCAGGAGTGTTTGCTGAAGGAAGGGAGGGTCCAAGTCTCAGTGTCAAAGTGGAAGCAGAAAGGACCTATGAACACCTTCAAGAAGTGGAGATGAAAAGTGCCTCAGATGCAGAGCAAAAACACAAAAGATTTTAATTAAAAACGACAGTGTCTCAGCCAGGTTGTCCCATTGCAGGGGCACCCCTTAAATCCAAAGTTCCTCAAGGGGACTCTCCAGGCTCAGCAGCAAGGGGTGACCAGGGCTCATTTAGGGGCCTGGCTGGCACCTGGCCCCTCAACATGACTCTGAAGATGAGGTGCCATTCTCTCAGGAGCTTGCTGGGACAGGGTCTGCCACTGTTGTTGCCATCACAGGTTCCTTCTGCACCAGCTCAGGCTCGTCCTCACCATCCTGGGGAGGGTGGACCAAAACCTTGTCTAAGATGCCAAATTCCTGGGCCTCCATGGGGCTCATGTAGCGGTCCCTCTCCATGGCCGACTCTGGTGGGGGAAGCAGGAGGTGGTACATATGAGGGTAAGAACAGAGAGCTAGGGCCGGACTGGCCTGAATGTTTGTGCCCCCCGCCCCCATCCCTATGTTGAAGCCCTAGCCCCCAAAGGGATAGTATTTAGAGATAAGGCCTTTTTTCATTTTTTGAGACAGTCTTATTCTGTTGCCCTGGGCTCAAGCAATCCTGTTTTTCCCTCAGTCTAACCCAGCACAACCTAGGGTTAGATGAGGTCATGAGGGTGGGCCCCCATGATAGGATTAGTGCCTTTTTTTTTTTTTTTTTTTTTGGAGACAGAGCCTCAAGCTGTCCCCAAGCTCACAGCAACCTCCAACTCCTGGGCTCAAGTGAGTCTCCTGCCTCCGCCTCCCAAGTAGCTGGGACCACAGGCGCCAGCCACAACGCCTGGCTATTTTTTTTTTTTTTTGGTTGTAGCCATCATTGTTGTTTGGCAGGCCCAGGCTGGATTCGAACCCGCCACCTTAGGTGTATGTGGCTGGCGCCTTAGCCACTTGAGCCACAGGCGTCAAGCCGATTAGTGCCATTTTAAGAAGAGACTCCAGAGAGCTTGCTCTCTCTCCACCATGCAAGGACACAGTGAGAAGGTCCATAAGCCAGGAGGGGATCCTTCGCCAGGAACCCAACCAGCCAGTACCCTGATCTTAGACTTCCAGCCTTTATGAAAAACAAATCTCTCTTGTTTAGGCCCCTCCCCCCAGTCTACGGTATTTTGTTAGGCAGCCCAAGTTGAGTAAGACACGCCCTCATTACACCAATTCTTCCCTATTTGATTTTGACCTCTTCACTCTGTGGCTCCATTTCCCCATCAGTAAAATACATATTCCAATTTTTTTTTTTTTTTTTTTGAGAAAGAGCCTCAAGCTGTAACCCTGGGTAGAGTGCCGTGGTGCGTGGCATCATAGCTCACAGTAACCTCCAACTTTGGCTCAAGCGATCCTCTTGCCTCAGTTTTTCTATTTTTAGTAGAGACAGGGTCTTGATTTTTTGCTCGGGCTGGTCTGGAACTTGTGAGCTCAAGCAATCCACCTGCCTCAGCCTCCCAAAGTGCTGGGATTATAGGCATGAACCCCTGCACCTGTCCTTTTTTTACCTTTTATTAATACATATCCAGGAAAGGGTACAATTCACAAATGTATACCAAGATGGCTTTTCAGACTGAACATACCCACAGGACCGGCATTCAGCCCAAAAGATGGAACATTACTAGCTTCCCCAAAATCTCGCTTGGGTGTCAGTCACTAATCTTCTCCACCTGCTCCCTATGCCCCAAAGTAACTCCTACCCTCACAGCAGATTAGCTCTACCTATTTTTGTTGTTTAAACCACAGCTAATGCTATTGGCACTGGGCCAGTTTGGGGCTCCCATGAACCGGATTGCCATTGTGTCCCCATACACATCTTTCATGGACACAAGCATCCATAGTTACACACTGAGCAGGGGAGCCAACGGATCTTTCTGCACGTTTAGCCTTAGCTAGTAATGCCAAACAGCTTTCCAAAGTAGTAGTTCCATTTTCACATCCACCTGTAGTAAATAAGCATTCCA